CTACAAAGGTGGCATCCCCCCCTCCTCTCCTAACAGTCAAATTCTGCTCTTACCACATCGGGATTTCGGAGACAGCCTTCACAGTTGCTGCTTTCAGGTGACTCACCAGAAAGACCAAGGCTATAAGAAATAAGTGCTACTGGAGTGACTGGTGCCCGAGCACTGGATGTGTGCTCTGGACTCCATGGCCCACCCTGGCCATCTGCTCTGCAGCCCAGCCAGCAAAACGTGACCGATGCTTCTCCTTGCGCTCGAGCCCATGCCTGCCTTCCCTCCGGCTCCGAAGGCTCGGAGCCAACGCACGGGCTTGCTGATGGCACCATGGGTGCTCCCTTTGGCAGCACAGCTGGTAACCTCTGGCAGAGAGACAGAAAGGGCAGTGAAGAGCAATAAAATTTAAAATGCTGTTGCAGACTTGCCTGGCGGCCTGACCTCACGGCTCAGGGCAGACATGCGGACCTCCATGTACCCTTCCTCAAAAAAGAAGATGATGCTACTACCTTTTTCCCTCCCCAGGCTGTTACAGCTAGAGCTAGATTAAAACCAGAATTACCTTTCCAAAGCCAATTCCACGGTTTCAAAATATGTTTTCTTCCCCAAATTGGGCAAAGAAGGCATGTTCCAGACCTTTTTTTCCACTAAAAAAAAATATCGTAAACTATTTTGTTAAAATGTTCCTTTCTGATGAGTGAGATTTTCTACTTAAGTCTTTGTATAAAATTACAGCAAAACATTGAACTCACTGAAAAGAAATGCCAGGATCACCTGCTGTTGGAAATTTTGACAGGATCAATAGATTCCTGTGAAACTGTTTAATTGTGTTAAATCAGCAAATATAAATCAGAGCTAAAACAAATCTCTGACCTTATCAAAACATACAGTCTTGACAATTGCCCGCCAAAAGTGTTAACAAATCAATAGATTCTTGCAAAATGCTTGATCCTGCTGTTTCAACCACTTCCCAACAAGCAATAGGCAGCCTGAGTTAGCTGGTGGCTGGAGTCACCTCCTTGTCATCACCTCTCTCCTCCTCACCTGTTTTTCACTGGTTAGATGTCCAGCGTGATCAGAGCCAAGCTGGCTCTCCGCAACGTCACCTACCAGCTGGGTGCTGAGCCTCAGAGCCCCCAGATCCCAGAGCTAGCCTCTTCTTCCACCTGCTAGCCACTTCACAGCCAAGATGACAAGCACTCTTTGTTATCCGTTGCTTTGCCTTCTCTACCAAATGAACAAGTAGGAGATGAAGCCAGAAATTCTAAAATTTGCCTTCACCCTCCTCATCGTCTGCTGACACTCGGCGCTCACCTCTTTGGTACAACCAAGTTGCTCTCCATGCCAGATGCTCTGGAGATGTTCACAAGGTCCACCTTCAGCTAAAATCATGCAGATTAAGAGTGTTCCTGGCTTAATCTAAGAGCCTGAACTGGGTGCTCTGGATAAGCCTGTCTTTCTTCACTGACATGGGGCAGAGTTAAGAAAATCCAAGGTCCCTGCTGGGTTCAGAGCACACTCCGCTTTTTGGTTTATTTGGGCTTTTTTAAGCCATCAGCCTTGTGGAAGCACCTCTAAACTCTTGCTGAACCCTCCCACAACCACTGAGCAGCAGCCTCTCCCTGCCTTTGGCCATGCTCACCTTCTAGGGAGCTCCAAAGATCTGAGATGAGATGGCCAAAGGCAGGGAGAGGACACAAAGGCACCTTCAGGACAGCTCTGGTGTCCCCACATGGTGTCCTGGGGCAGAAGACAGCATGTCCAAGCACTGGCCAGGCATGCTTGAGGCTTGCCTCCTGCACTTGCCAAAAGAGAAACCAGGAGGGTGCACCAGCACCTCCAGCCAGAGGAAGGCAAATTAAACCTGGAGGTTATGGTCAAGGAACAAAACAAAACAGAGACAGCCTTTCAGTTCACCGGTGACTCATCGTTCATTTGCTCCCAAAACCCAAGATAAATCTCTTTTCCAGAGGTTGTGTCTGCATGCATAGGTGCATGTTTGTGTGGAAGCTTTAGACTTGGAAACGGAAAACCATGATCAAAAATTAAGCTGGCCTCCAGATATTGCTGCGACAATGGAAAGCAACATCTTTGGTCATTAACTAATACACTTCCCAAAAGCAGAAGGGATCTGTATCCTGGGACAGGACACCCTGCGTCATCTCTGAAGAAGACATGGTAAATACTGACTCACAGCTGTGATTTTCTCTTCACTGTTTCTTCCTTAGGCCATGTTTTATATCTGCTTTCAGTGCTCTAGGGGGACTCAGTTTACCCATTTGCACCTCATTTTTACCTTTGATCTGAAACTGAGCAGTGAAGCCTTGAGGGACACGGTCTTGTGACACAATTGAAAACAAAGTTTTCTTGCATCTAATAGAAAGTTTCACGACCAAAGGAGAGGAAAGGAAAAGCAAAAAGCAGGATACTGCAAGACCCACCCACACTGAAGGCAACCACCGCAGCCCTTCACACCCTATAGACTAAAGGCCTTGTTAACTGAAGATGAGGTTACTCTGGTACTTTCCACCACGGCAGGGACCAAGACTGATGCTCAAACCAGAACACACACATTTTCAAGACCAGCTGAAAAAAAAAAAAAAAATTAAAAGGTAGACAGAGAGAGATATTATTTCCAGAAAAATCACGTAGCTCACTCCCATCCCTGGGTCTGTCGGAGGTTGGTGCCAAGACCAGGAGTTTTCATGATGGCCATATATATCTTTTCTGCACTGGATTTCGATGTGGCTGCTGCGACAACTGGACTGCCCAACAATGCAGCTGCAACAGCCCTTCCAAGAAAAAGCTGAATTCACAGCCCACTATACACGCACTGGGGGAAAGCCCCTGGCCCCTCACTTCCCACAAGGCAATCCCTCTGCCACCCACAGGTTTACCAAGTCTCATCATTATGAGCGTTACTCTGGAGCTAAGGACTCAATCCCACCACCTTTATAACTCTCTTGAAGATGAACCCTCCGCCTGCGTTTACAGACCAGAGAAAGAAACAGCTTTCTGCTCCCAGCTTCACAGATGTTACCCACAGCCTGAAGTTCACTGCAGCATCCCTGCCCTGTTTCCCAGCTACGTCCTACTCCGTGCTGTGTGGCGACACAGGAATGAAACACCAGCTACAGCAGCCACGCCAGGACGCACCCAGGGGCAGCCACCACGACAGTTCTTCCCAATTCTCCCACTCGTGCTGAATTTTTTTTGTAATTTTCCTTCACCTGTCTACTCCCATTCAACTCCGTATCACCTTCACAGCCAGGCCACTTACACCCACTGTCTTGTTATTACTTCTTAATGTGCTCTGTCAGAAATTGCTGGTTCTTGAGAGAGGTCCTTAACTGTTGGTCCTTAAGAGGTGAGCTGAGGACACACAAAGTATGTGATTGCCAATGGACAAACCAGACTTACTTTCCGTCCAAAGGGAACATAATTTTCTCTGGGGGAGAAAACAACATTAACATGTATTTGTAAATACAGTTTCGGGTTGCTTTTTTTTTTTTTTTTAGAAACTCTTTTTATCTTTACTGCCACATCCATTTACTCAGACACAGGAAAAAGTCCCTCAGCTGAAAAACTGAACTCATAAAAGCAAAGCAAACGATCTAAATAAAAATCCCCCGCTCAGCTTTGTAATTACCAAGATATTCACTAAGCACAACTCTCCAGTCACTTCACTGGTACACAAGGCACCTCCCTTACTCTTCTGTTTGCATCTTGGTAACATCTACCACCTCCAAAGCCATTCATCTTCCAATGTTTCAGCAAACCTCCACGCTCCCTACTGATGTGCTATCACTTACATCGCTCCCTCAGCTACGCTCACCAGGAGAAACCTAGCTGGCGGTCCCCAGATTCCCTTTACTCCACTGCTTTTCTCGTGCACCTGTAATACATTCTTCTATGACTGCCCAACATTACTCAGGTGTGAAAAAGCAGCACAGCCAGAGCCAGGATAACCAAACACATCAGTTGTTCACATCTGGGGTTCCGCACCAAGATTCATCAAAGCATAAGAGACTGCTGTTGGAAGTCTGATACTCAAAAAGCTGGCTGGATGTTAGCCCCATTTGTGTAAGTGTTCCTCTCTTATTTAAAGAGCTGGACAGATCTCAAAAAGACATGGGCTCTGAGAAAAAAAAAAAAAAAAAGTCAAAGTCCACAACTTTGCAAGGAGGAATAAGTATAAAACAAAAAGCCTATGATCTGGTTATAAGTGGAAGCCTTGCTTCCAGGTAGTTTTGGGGAATGTGAGTCTTGTTTTTGCACAGCACAGAGGTGAGATGTGAAGCTCACGAACATACAGGGCGTCTTCATGCCAGACTATGTTTAGGGTATGTCCTCGATGGAAATACGGGGCTGTATTTCCATGCCCACACCTGTAAGAGGCAGGTTGACATCTGTGCAAGAATACTAGGTAAAGGGGGGGCAAGAGAGGGGGAAATAAAAGAAATAGGCTGCACGTGAGGGATGAGGAGAGCTGCCCTGTCCTGCCCTGCCTGTGGGAGACAGGCAGGAACAGGCAGCGGGTCAGGGGAAGGTGCCAGGCAAAACCATGCCTGCCCTGCAGCAAGCACCCAGGAGCTGCTCTCCCTCCAGGAGGGACCAAAAACGGGCCCTGGCACTCAGAGCTCTGAGCAAGCCTCGACTTACCCCCAGAGCCGCCCAGGCAAAATTAAAAATAAAGGGGGGAAAGCGCAGAGCACCATGCAGCAGCCCGACATCTGGCAGGGCTTCGGGTACCTGGGCAAAAAGCGGTGCCTCTGGATAAGGAGGAGGAGCATGAGAAGAAAGGGGGGGGGGGGGGGGGGGGGGGGGGGGGGGGGGGGGGGGGGGGGGGGGGGGGGGGGGGGGGGGGGGGGGGGGGGGGGGGGGGGGGAAGAGGGGGATTCCCCGGCTGCAGCGTGCAACATCGCCGGGTCTGTCATCATCCTCCGGCGGCGGCGGGAGGGCGGGAAGGCGGGGGGGGAGGTGGAAGGGGGCGAGCGGGGCGGCCTCACCTGACGAGGTCGAGGAAGGAATCCACCGTCTCCTTGCTGGTGGGCACGGCGCCCGGCAGCCCCAGCCCGGGGGCGTTGAGGGAGGAGGCGCCGGCGCCGGGCCGGACGATGAAGCCGAGGGCGACGGCGAGGCCGGAGGCCAACAGCGTGGTGCCGAGGAAATAGGCGAGGGCGATGCCCCCCAGGCGGCCGAGCGAGCGGCTGTCGAGGCTGGCGGCTCCCGACACCAGGCTGCAGATGACGAGCGGCAGGATCACCATCCGCAGCATCCGCAGCAGCAGCTCCCCCGGGAAGGCCAGGTAGGCCACCTGCGCCGGGCCCAGCTCCGCTCCGCGCACGGCGGCGCCCAGCGCCACGCCGGCCACCACCCCCGACACCGTCAGCACCACCAGCGCGTTGCGCCGCAGGAAACCCCGACAGCCCCGCAGCCGAGCCCCACCGCCCCGCTCCGCCGCCGGGCCCTCCGCATGGCCGTTACGGCCGTCGCCCGCCTTCCCCGCCGCCTCCATGCTGCCCGGCGCGGCGCGGCGCGGCGCGCAGCCCCACACCTCCCGCCACCGCCGCCGGCCTCACACTTGACTGACGGGCAGGCCCCGCCCCCTCCCACCGCCCGCCCGGGAGGGAGGGCGGGAGGGAGGGGTGGGGGCGGTGTCTTTGGCTCCGCCGACGGGGCGGGGACAGCCCCCGAAGCCCCGCCCCGCCGCCGGGGGTTGGTGGGGGTGGGGGTGCTGGCGGCGCGGGTCGCCATAACCGCTGGTGGCTGCCGCACGTCCCGCCTCGCGACCCCCCTTCTCCCCTCACGGAGCCGCCCGCGCCCTACCCACGGCCCCTCGGTGTCCCCGTCGGTGTCACGGAGCTCACGCGTGTCCCCCCCCGTGGACTCTGTGTCCGTCTCGGTGCCCCTGTGGCTCACACATATCCCGCCTCAGCCTTCCCGCGGATCACATTTGTCTCCGCAGTCTCCCCACAACTCTTACAAACTCACTCAGCATCACCACGGCTCACACGCAACCCTTCGGTGTCCCCTTCCGTGTCACGGAGCTCACACGTGACCCCTCAGTGGTCTCTTGCGTCTCTCTCGCTGTCCCCATGGCTCACACACGACCCTCCACGGTGTCCCCCTCAAGTCTTCCCACGCTTCACACACATCCCACAGCATCCCCACGCTTCACACGCCTCCCCTCAGCATCCCCACTCTTCACACGTGTCCATCCCCTCAGCATCCCCACGCTTCACACATGTCCCCTCAGCATCCCCACGCTTCACACGTGTCCATCCCCTCAGCATCCCCACACTTCACACACATCCCCTCAGCATCCCCACACTTCACACACATCCCCATCCCCTCAGCATCCCCACACTTCACACACATCCCCTCAGCATCCCCACACTTCACACACGTCCCCTCAGCATCCCCACACTTCACACACGTCCCTCAGCATCCCCACACTTCACACACTTCCCCTCATCATCCCACACTTCACACACATCCCCATCCCCAGCATCCCCACACTTCACACACTTCCCCTCAGCACCCCCACGCTTCACACACGTCCCCTCAGCATCCCCACACTTCACACACGTCCCCATCCCCTCATCATCCCCACAGTTCACACACGTCCCATCAGCATCCCCACACTTCACACACATCCCCTCAGCATCCCCACACTTCACACACATCCCCATCCCCTCAGCATCCCCACACTTCACACACATCCCCTCAGCATCCCCACACTTCACACACGTCCCCTCAGCATCCCCACGCTTCACACATGTCCCCTCAGCATCCCCACACTTCACAAATCCCCTCAGCATCCCCACACTTCACACACATCCCCATCCCCTCAGCACCCCCACGCTTCACACACGTCCCCTCAGCATCTCCACACTTCACACACGTCCCCATCCCCTCATCATCCCCACAGTTCACACACGTCCCATCAGCATCCCCACACTTCACACACATCCCCTCAGCATCCCCACACTTCACACACATCCCCATCCCCTCAGCATCCCCACACTTCACACACGTCCCCTCAGCATCCCCACGCTTCACACACGTCCCCACAGCATCCCCACAGTTCACACACGTCCCCTCAGCATCCCCACTTCACACACGTCCCCTCAGCATCCCCCACGCTTCACACACGTCCCCACAGCATCCCCACAGTTCACACATGTCCATCCCCTCAGCATCCCCACGGTTCTCCCGCCTCCCCTCAGCATCCCCGCTCCGGTTCATCAGTGGCAGGGTGGCACGGACACGCGGGCTCTGAGCACACTTCTTTGCGGACCCAGGCTGAAAGCCGCATCAGGTGACACCAGCAGGTTGTCCGAGGAGCAGCCACTGTCTCTGACGGTACAAGGGGCTGATAAGGGACAGCCCTGGCTTTCAAATCCGCCGGGCCTTGGAGATACCGCACTGTCGTGTTGGCTCACAGAGCCAGCCGCACAGGCTCCAGCCGGTGTTTGGGTTTCAGAAGGGGCTTCACTTCAGTTTATTCCCTTGACATCAGCAAAGCACAGCCTAGCAGAAAACGTGCTGTGAAAACAACCAGCCACACATTTGCTTTTCGAGTAGGCTGGACTAATTAAAGAGACTGACAGGGCGTGATGGGGCGATAATCCTGACTTAATAACACCGGAAGATCCCTCCAGATCTCCTGGGAATTGTCTCTGTCTAAATAGATAATGACACCACCAACGAACAACTGCGTCTACCACTACCCACTTCAGAGCTCAATGCAGTCTTGACTCGCAGCTTGTTCTTGCACTGAAATTTGACTCAAGATACCAGGCATAATCTTACTGATTTCTTTTTTTTTTTTTCCCTGAAAACTTGCCCTTTGAGGGACACTTGGTTTAATTAATTAATGTTCCACCAAATTAGAATAAGCAGAGAGAGGAAACAGAGATTAAATTAAACAGGAAAGCAAGTATCTGCAAACAGTTTCAAAGATATTAAATTCCACTAACCTCAAAAGGAACAAAAAGTTACAAAAGTCTTTTTAAATTGGTTTTGAAATTTTTTTATTCATATGATTGTGAATAATAAACAATTAACCATCCAAAATAATTGTTTATTTTCCAATCAGAAGCATTGCTAAAATGCATTTTCATTTAATGTTTTGTCAGCATTCCTTGTGAAAACATTATGGTTCATTTTTCCCTTGCATTTTTCCGTGCTGTTCTCTCCCAGCCTCATCCTTTTTTCTTTCCATGAAAAGGGGAAGAGAAAAAGGGAAAAGAAAGGACAACAGAAAATTATAAAATAAATATAAAAATATAGAACTCTTTCTTCTCTGTTTCAGCTGAGAAAATATTCTAAAACCAAACAATGAGCAGAAATGCTGTTCCTATATGCAAACTGAAAAGGAAGGGGAGAAATTCAGGGAAGGGTGAACAAGAAGAACATATTAAATTGGAAAATTCATCCATAGCACCACACGTATGAGACCAGCACATGAGTTAAAATAGAGTCTTTTCTACCATATGAATCAATAGTAGGCTCCTTTTCTCCGGAGAATCTCCCCATGCCCTTGCGGGGTTGACTTTACTCAGAGCAGTGACACAAGAATAGCCAGGTGGCCTGCCGGAACACACATCTCCAAAATCATAGATCCCACTGCACGTTTCTTAATCCGTGCTAGGGCTGGTTGGTGATAGCCAACCCTCTGCGAAGGACACCTTGATGTAGGGATGCTTGTGTCAACAAGCTTCCTGGTGAATGACACCATGAGAATTTGGATTCCCAATTTCCCCTCCCTTATTTTCCCTCTTGATTTTCTTATTTAAACACTGACTCAAACAGCTATCCTTCTTCTCTTGACATATCTTCAGATGACAAGGCTTTTGCCAAGAAGAAGACGATAGAGCATGTGAACCTCCCACCATATGAATGGACATCACCCAGAGATGTTCTATGCCGCGATTGAGAGACGGAGACCCAGCTCGATGCAAGTCAGGATCTTCTTTATTGAACACAACAACCGATTTTATATTCCAAACAGACAAAGAGAGACATGTGTTTTAAGCTGATTGGCACAATGGTTAATCACCTAATACATATTACAAAAATTGAGCTCATGATTGGCTAACGTCTAAGGTCAGCTTGACCTTTTCTGCAGTTAATTTTCTGCTAGCTCACAGCATTCTTCTCCTTAACAACTTCTACTCCTGTTTCTATAGCACATGCTTATCTCTAGTTAGGAAACCAGCCCTCCAGGAAGAAATCGTCCTTAGCCCCAGGGGTGTAACAGTTTGCTTACAGATTATGCAAATTACGAGACGCCAAATTGAGGACGTCCCTCCTAATCAGCTCTATCTCGCTGCTAGAAGGAGAGACCAGGCTGCCCCGGCAGTTCTAGGCAAAGCTAACTGTTTTTCTGCACCCTGTGAGAGTTCATGGATGGCTGCAGTCATTAACTCTGAGGCCCACTGACTTATTCAGTAGTACCGTTGATGGATCCATCGTGTCATGTTTTCATTTCAGCACTTGTAGATCTTGGGAGCTTTCCAGTGAGTGAGTCTGCACGTTTCCAGTGTTCACCCTGCTGGTGCTTCTAAATTGGGGTTTTTGACACTGCCTGTTGTGACTTGAAGAATTTTTTTTGTCTTAGATGGCTTTCACCTGCACAGGGCTAGAGTGCTTCCTCCAGAAATCGGCAGAGGGATCATAAACAAGCAACAACAAATAAGCAATCAAACAAAGAAACAAACAAAGAAACATACAAACAGGGAAAAAAAAATCCTTTTAAATAAAATTTTTAAATTATTTTTGCTTTCAACAAGGAGACAGCCAACATAGTTTTCACTACTGACCTGGGAAGGAAAAGGTCCTGCTGATTTCCAGTAAAATTCTGCTTGATAAAATCTTTTTATGGTGGATATTGAAATTCCAGCCTCAGTGAAGGGAATGAAAAAGTCTGGACAGATGTAAAGGAATTGGATCCTTCCTCTCTATGTTTCAGCACCAAGGAAGCAGAGTACAGGACTCATTTTGATCTGTTAACCTCAGAAAAGGTCCTGCTTTGTTGAGGGAAGTTGATATTGAGACCTCTCTGAGGAAAGGCTTACAATTCCTTTTTCATATTGCTCATCCATTCCTACTGTTAACCTTTACCGCAGTCTTGCTGCAAATGAATGGGATGGACATTTAGGATGGGATCTATGTAATCTAGCTGTTGCCACCTAGAAATTTAATGTCTAATTCTGGCTTTTTCCATAGTTAGTAGAGAGACAGGAAAGATCACCCTCTTTTAAAAGGTGTATCTGAGGCAGATGAGATGAAATTCCCATGGGGATATCTACCATGCTCCACTAAGTATATAAGACCTAGAGAACTGGTTTAGGATACCCAGGTTTCCAGGAATTTTTACCATGTAACCCCTTCCCCTCTGCCTCTGACTTACAATGCAGATCTCACCAAAACCAAACTGTACAACAGTATCATAGAAAATCATTATTTTCCTCCCTCTATGACTTATGTATATATTATACTCACCCCAATGACAACCCAAGATGATTTTTTTGTTCCTCAGAGGAGATTTAACCTGGCATCTGAACAGCATCTTACATTTTTTCTGCCCTGACCTCCAAAATATAAATGTACCCTGGCCCTGAGGACATCTACATCTGGAGCTGGCTCTGAACTTCATGGTGGCCTCTGGAATAAAAGCAAACCTCTAGATAGCAACATCTGTGATCTCTGGAGGAAGTCAGAGCTGACCGTTAACTGCACAGTGCTGCTCATCTCGGCCAGAAATGAAGTTATTAAAGGCAGCTTCTGCCTTGTGATTTTTGGTTTGGGGGAGGAAAAAAGTAGAATCCACTCTGCCTTACTACACAGTATCTACCTGTCCTACTGGATATGTTATGTGCTATGTACTGAAAGAGAAAAGCCTATGAAATAAGGTAACAGTTGCTACACCCTTAGCCTTTGATAATCTATGATGATAATAAACCCATCTGGTGGGTGGTTTCTCCGTCACTCGTGGGGTCACATCAACACATATTAAGTTGCTGGCACAGAAGCACTCCAATGACATTGGTTTCAGGGGGTGGAAAAGCCCATGAGAAGCAGAGGAGAAGGTTTTCCACACCTGAGGAAGGTCAACACAAAGTCTGAAAGAAACCAGACAAGTTTCTTTGCTAGGGGAGGAGAGGAAGGCTTTCAAAGAACTGTTTGCAGCTCCCTGAGCCTCCCACCTGATGCGCGTCCTCTTGGCACAGGTTAGAGTAGCCCTCAGGCGACGTTTCCTACAAAACCACATGCAAGTTGTGTGCAGCAAGAGTGCGGTGAACGCTCATTGTGCCACCTCTGTTTCCCTCCATCTTCCTGCCGCTATCTGCCTCTTTGTAAGACCAGCAAGGTCATCTGCAGCTTCCAGGAGCGTCCGTGGGCCTGGCTGCTGTTTACCCTCTGATCTCGGGCGAGCTAACAGAAAAAACATCCCATCTCCTGTGACTGCTTTGATCTGAAGTAGTTTGAAGACTAATGCCTGAAAGTCATGGTGGGGGGAGGAGGGAGCAAGATGAAAGGGATGAGGCAGAAAGGGGTTGTATGTTTTGGTTATTTGTGTTTTTCAAGAGAAGCCTGAATAAAGACGCTCCTAAACATCCCAACGGAGATGTTCTGGGCAGCCTGCAGTGTCCCAAGGGGCTGTATTACAGAGTGGCCTTTTTCTGAGGAGAATACACGAAAAGCATGTGGGAGAGAGCTTGTTTTCCACCAGGCAAAATGAAGTCCTCAGAAGAGCCACAGCATGCTGGCTGAGGCAGGAAGGCCTAGAGCACTTCCTTGGTATGCAGACTTTAGCTTGGCAAGAAGACTTTGTTGGGCCTGGGATGCCAAGCAATTTGGACAGACTCCAGCCCCATCACAGAAATGCTCTCTGCCCGCCTCCGGGAGAAACATTAATTGGGCTCCTTGGGTCTTCCCGGTGCCACCGGCCCGCTCACCCCATCACGAGCTGGATGCAGGACCAGCTACCCAGATGCAGCCACCTGGACTTATCAGAACGAGCCTGATTTTAAGACATCTGAAACCACAGAAAGAAAACCCCTCGGTCTTCAGTGATTCCAGATCCCAACATTCTTCAGGTCCTGCCGCATGGAGGTTCCTGGCGAGCAACCAAAATATCGCCGTCCCAAACACAATCCTACCACACTGTCACATGTGGATTCACCGTTTCTCCAGGCTAGGTAAGTTCTCACGCCTGATTGAAAATATTCTGAGGATGAAAAGAAAGGCCTTTGTGAGTGCATTTTCTAAGAGCAGAGGAAGGCAAGGAATTTTGAAAATACCACTTGCTTGCCTAAACTCCAACAAAGTATAAACTCTGCGGACAGGGATGGTTGACCTAGGGTAAATATTTAACTTTATTCTCCAAAGGCACATGCAGTTTTACCAGCAAGAAGATGAAAAATATAGAATAATACCCCTACACACACCTTGTTTACTCTAGGACCCGTAGAGCAAACAAAGCCAAATTGAGGCAGGATTAAATTTAAAACTGGGTGTGTTGTCTCCTTGTTCAAAACCATAATAATGTACAAACATGAAGAAAAAAGAATTGTTAAATGCTGGAAAAGAAGGGCCCCGTCTCACCTCCCAGGAATAATGGCACTTTCTCCTTCATAGGGTCTCCTTGAGATTTTTCTTTGAGGGTAAAGCAGGGAAAAGCAGGAAAAAAGGGCAAAAAATGAGAGCAGACACTCAAGATCTTGGATATGGGACACCCTGCCCTAGCAGGGGACATTGCCTCTAGCTGGTGGGGGAAATGCAAGGTCAGGCCTTTCAAAACAAGCTGGGCTGATCTGAAAACAAGTTGTGTGATCTCCTCTCACAGGGAAGCTTTGCTACCAAAGAAGCAAGGGAAACAATCAGAGGGTTTCAACTGTAAGAAACGTGCTTGAATGAAAAACTTGCGAGTGCTCCAAGTAGAAGTGCCTGCTGATTTCTCCCACGATTGCGGGTTGATAAAGTGCCTGGCCGGTGGCAGGAGGCAGGTAAGTCAGACAGCTGAGGATTTGCCTGACATTCAAGGATTAATACACAAGCAGAGAACACCTTGATTTACATCAGCTGTATGGAATATGCCATAAAAAGCCACATCAGGGAGAGGAAAAAGCATGAGCAATTTTTGAACCTTGGTTGTGATTCAGTGGCTAGAAACAGCAAGGGGAATCACTGTCCTTACACATTTTTATCCCTGATTACGGTATGACAATGAATACTGTATCCCTGATTAGGGGTGACAGTAAACTGGGATGACAGCAGAGTGGTAAAGCTTCTGCCAGAGAAGGAAGGGGACTGTGCAGCTGCCCTTTGCCCACTGGCCTGTGCGGATGTCTTCCCATGCCCCCAGCTTGCTGCAGGAGCGTGACAGTGGCCACGCCAAGGGGCCATGGGAGCAAATGTGTGGACTGAACAGGACTCTGAGAAATAACTGCAGCTTTAGAGATCCTTGAGGTCACGCAAAAAGAGCAGCAAAATGTTGTAAGAAAAGTAATACTGGAAAGCAAGAACATAAAAATAAGCAAAGCAAGAACATGTGATATTTTCTGAGAATGCTTTCCAAGTACCCAACAATCTCCAGCTCAGGTGTTTCCAGGTGCAGTCCTTCAGATTTAAAAGCCTTCCATGCATTTTCCTCCTGCAATTTGACCACTATGCTTTTTAATCTCGTCATCTCTTTTCCAGAGATGTTATTAGTCTCGTACAGAGCCCACTGCATGCTTTTGTCACCCTCTGCACCTTTCCTGGTGCTTCTGTACCCCTTGAGACCAGAGCACAAGAGCGTGTCACAGATTGATGATGGGTGAAAGCTCCTCTTTCCTCTGCCAGCTACAGCCACGGCAGCAGAGTCAGCAGGAAAGAGCTAATGAAGGCAGCCCGCTACGATCAGAGAAGTCGTTTCCCTGCTTGATGCCTCGCTTCAGCAGTAACACTGCCACGTGCATTGCTGCCAAGGTCCATGGCTGCAGATTCAAGCACGGCCAGTAGTTCCAAGGCCCCGACGGCTGTGCATGGATTAGGCAGAAAAGTAACCAGCCTGGAGCAAAGAGCAACTTCTCTCTGTGTGTGAGGGTGTGTGTTGCTGTACTTCTGTAACAGGAGTCAAAGTGCTGAGGAGAAAGCACGTACCCCCATTTTTCAGGCTGCTATTTTAGCACCGCATCACTTTGCCTGAGATTGTCAGGTGCTGTGTTAGTGTAACAGCTTTCCTTCATCACCAGGGGTATCCAAAACAATGTTTACATCAGTGGTCAGCATAGAGCCCTCCTCCCTGAAAAATTAAGTTTATGCCTGGTTGGTATAACAAGCGGAGACTGTTGAAGTATTTGGTCATTTATGACAAGACCCCAGGGCCATATAAATCTCTTTTAGGGCAGTGAGAGGCAGGTAGCCACCAGGACTGTATCTGACCTACTGCAGAATGTGGCATCTGGCCAGTGATGTGTCCTGGTTTGGCCGATTCACCAAGTGGGTGTACCTGTGCAAAGTATCAAACCACTAAAAACTTGCTGTGTTTGCTATGTCCACGAAATACAGATTTAGGAAAGCGTGACAGCTTCTTTGCCTCTGTCCTCTGAGGCTGTCGTTCAGCCACGGAGTGCAATTCCCTCCTTTGTGATGAAGGGAATTTGGCATTCAGGCCCGGGAGGTGCCTGAGACCAGCCCACCTAATAAGCTGTAGGTTTCTGAGGCTGTGAATGCTCGGATTTCTGCTCAAAGGTAATCTCAGACAGGTCCTCAGTGGCGGTTTCTCTTCAGCCAACCTGCCTATTTTTATCAAACTCACAGAAACACACTTCCTGTGAGATCACCAACCTCCAGTGAAATTTTGATGACAATGCATGCTGGAATCAAGAGCTATTAATGAGGGGTGGACAGGTGGAGCCACACAGAGACACACTTCCCAGTGCATGTGCCGATATACAATTTTTTAGGAACCAGGCTAAAGCTTACCTTGTGTCTACTGTTGTCCCAACTCTCTGTGTGAATCACAAAGTAGTTGTCCTAATATCGGAGAAAGAGGGATGCAGATTTTTTCTTTAAACCTGAAAAGATATCTAGGAATATGGGGAAATGTGGGAGAGGCATGTATACGTAACAAAAATGGTAAATAAATACTCAGTACTTTCCTGGGCAGCGAAATAACAAATCAAAGTTAAGAGAAACAGGAAACACAGAAACTCATGTAATGAGACTGCAGGTTAGTCTGAAAATAACCTAAAATTCTTCAGAATTCACAGCAGCTTGCTGCATCCCTTTCCTCCCATCACGTTTGCATCATGGAAAATTAGCTTTTTGCTGCTGAAATCCACAGTTTCAGATGAATTTCTTAGCCAGGCCTAGAAAAGTACATAAGTACCTAGTGTTTATTCTAGGGGTTGTAATTCTCATTGATCTCAAAGCCTTTGAGAATCTGAGCTTATTATCTATTGCACAATTTTCAAAGCTGTCTAGGGTACCTGCTAATGTAGGTATCTGAGGTAACTGCTGGGAGCTCCAAAGGCCCTTTTATTAGCCTGAACTAAAGCAATTTTGGATCCTTAATTAAGTAGCACCATTATCAAATCCAGGAGGAAAAAAAAAATAAAAAAAAAAACAACCAACCAACCAAACAACAGGCTTGCACAGAGTAGATTACACACTACTGTGGCTGTGTAAGAGCCCTGTCACCGCAGGTTTTGGAGTAACAGCCCTGCTGGGAATTAAGACAAGGAAAACAAGGCGGGAGGAGGATGCACTTTCCACCTGCCTTAAATCAGAGCCAAGACCTCCTGCATCGGGGAGTGCAAGTTCAGACTCTGGCATGGTGCGGCCATGGGGCAGGGCGGCAGCCCCAGGCTGAAGCCCCCCGATCCTGCGTCAGGGCTGCTGACCCACGGGGCACGTGTGCTTCTTGGGCGGGGGGGTGAAGAGGTCCTAACTCAGCCTTGTAACCCCCTTCAGCTTGCAAAGGAGCTTGAAGAAAAATAAACAGAGGCAAAGCCACGCTCCGCCCCTTGCTCACACGCCACCTCTTTTCAGGGGTGAAAGAGTGGCTCTATTAGAGGCAGTGGATATGCTGAGCAGAGCCACCGCATCTTTCTGGTGGGTAAGGAAAGGCAGCAGAGGCAGCAGCTGGAGCAGGCTGAAAGCTTTTTCTGAGTGGCACAGGAAAAGAAACCATTATGAGAGTGCGCTAAAAGGCTATTCATTGCTAAGGAAAGGGCTACTGAAGAATGTGGGACACATGCCGAAAGCTGCCAGCCAGAGCAACAGGAAGATTATTAAAGCCCTTTGCAAAGACCCCCATCTCCTTCCTTTGGCAGTGGCGATTCTGGACATGGAATCATTTCAGACCTACCCATTGAAATCCTGTAAATAGCTGTCTGCAGGGAGAGAGAAGCTGGGTTACAGCTACAGGGATTTCTTCATGTGGGAACTGTAGGTAAAACACCTATATCGTGACCAAATACAGTTAGGAAGGAAGGCAAATGCACACCCTGGAGAAGCTCTCCTTGAATTATCAGGCCGTAAGGGGAGTGACTGGAACTCCTAAAGGAAGCAAATGTGGCTGTTTTCAGCTGTGCTCCTCAGCGGGGAGCAACGCCGACCTTCTCCATGCTGGCTGCTTGTGTGGGGTCTGTGCATGCAGGAGGCTGGGGCTAGGAAGGCTTTTCTGCCTTCAAATTGGAATATTTTGCCCTGAGTAAGCAGCTCGCTGTACTGACAGACGAGAGAGCTGTCTCCTGCTTTCTGTCTCCCAGTTTCTGTCTTCCTTTCCTGCCTGCTCTTCCATTTCTTTCCTTTTCCCACCTCAGCTTTTTATCTCCTTGGAGCTGTTTGGGAAGAGTGCCTGTGAGACAAACCCTAGCCAAGGGGCACCCATCCAAGGAACAAAGCCCCCGAAAAATGCCTTGTACAAGCCAGGCTCTCTGCAAAGCCCCCGAAAAATGCCTTGTACAAGCCAGGCTCTCTGCAGTGATGCTGATCCCATGGCTCTTGACTTAAATTGCTGTGCCCATAACTATTAACTTTTAGGGCCTGATACAGTCCCTGCCTTCAGGGCACAACCTGGTGGGAGCCCAGTAGTGGTAGGTGCTGTACAGACACAGCAGGGAAATGTCCTAACACGAAGGGTTTCTGCGGGCTGAGAAGAGAAGTGGCGGCATGGGGAGGTAAAGTGACTTTCCCAAGCTCTTTGATCTGCTTTGTCCCATGCTGTCCCCTCCCTGGACCTGCACCATATATTCAAAGGCAATAGCATAGCTCCGGGCTGGGAGCGTTGCTTTCCTGCCTCTAGGAACAGCTTGCCAGGGAAGCAGCATGAAGGAGGAGGCAAGGTGGTACTCTTGTGGGATTGTGAGGGTGACTACTCTTGGCTGTAAAGACACACCAACATCTCTGCTTTCATATCCAAGGGTTTAAAAGTCATGAGTCTGGTCCCTCCAAAATCACTAGACTTTATGGTTTAAAAAGCACGGGGTCTAAAATAAAAATAAGTGCATGTTCTTTATTTGCCTTTGAGTCATATTTTTGAGCTTTTCCCCCCAGAACCACAGTATCTATTCTGCCCTTTGGTTAGGGAACACAGGGCATCTTCCTTGTTTGCTCACTCAGACATAATCACACGACTTTCTAGAACCTGAAGTCTTCGAGGCCCCTAACTCTCCATCCACCTTCATTAAATTTGGTCAATAGGTTCAAGTTATGAGGGAATCGAGTGGTAGAGATACATATGCCCATGCATACCACCATTAAATACACATTGTGTCCTTAGAAAATAGGCCAGAAATAGAGATGTAAAAGGTTATTGATGCATTTTAAAAGTATAAAACTAAATCTTCTCGGAGTGGAGGAAAGGAAAGACATGGAAACACTTAATGTGTTGGAAAAACAGCCCAGCGGCTGGACCAGGAGTCTCTCTGGAAAGAAAAAAGAACATTCAATAACCAAGTTCAGCTGAAGAAAAACCATAGAAAACAAACTGCCAACACCAGGAATTTGGGGAAAGGGTCAATGCTGGAAAAGGGGGAGAAAAGAGCACAGAGAATTACTTAGTTCAAGTAAAAACACAGCAGTACATCTGAAGAACATAACAGGGAGGCGCATGTTGCAACTGGCCAGGATGAAAAGAATCAAAAAAGAAAGGAGAGGCAAACACAGTTTTAGAAGTAATGACAGGGAAATCAGATTTTCAGGCAGAGCTCAGACATGTTGGCTAAGTGGAGCCTTGTGAGCACTGCATGATGCTTAATCCGAAAGGAATCCCAAATTCCAGTAACAATATCTACTTCAAGCCAGCAGATGTACTGTCTCACCTATGCCTTTGGGGCACAGAAAAATACTGGTGTTTGTAGGTTTGCCCTTCCCTGCATCCATCCCGAATCCTGACTTACCTGTGCAGGGGCCACAGCTCCTAAAGAGGCAAGAAAGGAGAAGTTCAGCTGGGCCCAGCTGAAAAAACAGTCAGGCCTCTGCGTGCAAAAGCCTCGTGGCATTTTCACCCCAGCCTGGCCAGGACAGGAGTGCAGGTCACTTTGATCTCCCTAGTTTCCCTCCCCCAAATTAAATGACTGAAGTGTTTATCTGTTCTCTTCCAGGGGACCAGGAAGAGCTCAGATACGTCTACTGCTGCAGCGCATTTATGCAAATGGTGACTGGGTGCTACTCGGTCCCCTAATGACCTGGTGCTGAGAAGAAAAAAAGGGTGCAGCCAGGGTACCCCAGGGCCTGCACAAGGATGAACTCCTGCCATGAGCCTCATGAGCGTGGCCGCCCCTTGCTCCCAGCTGGAAACAGCCAGAGAGCGGCTTCAGGGCAAATCACAAGATCCAGCCTGAGCTGAGAAGGCGAAGCTGATAGGGACAGGAGGTCACTATGGTGGGTCTTGCAAGGTAGGAAGTTCCTCCGTGGAAAAACACCACCTCCTCCTACTTCTGCTCAATCCAAACTACGGCGCAAGCAGCCGGGCACAGCCATATCCCACCCTCGGCAGCACGCTCGTCTGTCTTGTTGATTCAGTTCATTCCCTGTGGGGCAGGATGGGGCAGGATTTGGCCCTTTGTCTCTCAACGTCTGCACAATCTGTGGGCTTTGCAAGCAGTGAACTGGAAAAAATGAAGAGTTGACAATTAAATGCTCAAAATCTGCTGGGACTTTGTCCGGAGTGGGCTAAGCAAACAAGTACAGATGGAGTGACCTATGATCTGCACATTTAAGGGTGTACTCTACACTGCTTCATTTGGTTTAATCATCTTAATTTACAAGCCAGGTTTCTTGCTTAATTAGTCAAATGAAGAATGAAAAGTGAATGCATAGAAGTAAGCCTCAACTTGTTCAGCTGGCTTATAACCTCCATTACTGAGCTAGAAGAATTATGTTGATTTGGTGTCTGAAGGTTTAATGTGCCTCTTCACATGGTGCAGAAAATGATGAAGAATTGACAAAGAAAGGGAGCGAGCTGGTCAGTAGCCCTTGACCTCAAGGGCTCTCAGTGAAGGCCGAGGCAGTGACCGTAGGATGCTCTTGGAAGGATTATTTTGGGTGAAGGAGGTTGCAAACCTTAGAGATGCTGCTGTGCACGACACAGCATTTGCTTGCAGACCCAGAGCAAGGTTCCCACTTCATCCCCAAACGATTCCCCCAGGAACACAAGAAAATCGCTTAGGGGTTAGTGTCTTTCACGGGAGAGCATCACCAGCCAGATCCAGCAGGTTCTGGACACATTTTTCTTCACGGGACATTGACCACTGTTGATCCCACTTACGTGGAACAACGTGATACCATCTCTCATGTGCCTCCAGGCGGCTAAAGAGGACCACAGGGAAAACGGCAAAAAAAATCTTTCCTAGTTCAGCATTTTCAGACAAAACTGTTTTCAAGGAATGAATTCTGATGATAAGGCAGGGTTGGTTTTTTTCCACTTTGAAACCAATCTTTTTCTAGATTCAGAGGGCTGTTCCCTCCATACTGTCAAATAGAAAAATGATTTAAAAATGTCTGACGCAAATGCCTCCATTTTCTTTTTTTTCCTCCCCTCTTTTTCTTCCCGCCGCTTTTAATTTTTGGACCAACTCTATCATTGGACAATTACATTGGCTAATCGCATTTAAACAGTTTTATCAAGATTGGGTAATTATATTCAGAGCAATTGGGCTGAAAAAGCACAGAATCTGGTATAAATATTTCACAAGAGGCTGAACCAAATAAACAAGAAAGGGTGTGTTAGTTTGTGTGAGGGTATACGCACGTGCTTAGGGTACACAGGTCCAACTCTGAAACAGGGAAATACTGTATTCAGGACTCCAAGCCCTTCCCCAGGACTTGGGCTCTGTGGAAAGCAATTCCAACTAGCAGAGGGGGAACTTATAAATATATGCCTAGGTTTTCATTAACACCAGGTAAACCAATTCCAAAGGTGAAAACCCCACAGATATCTTAGGAGCTTCTCTTGTCATCGTATCAGAAGCCTCACTGGCAAATACAGCTTTTATTTCTAAATACATTCACTGAAATTAAAGTTTCTAATAATTCAAGTGTTGCAACCAGGCATGTAACTGTACTCTCAGCTCTCTTGCTGCCAGCAGGAATACAGCAATTCCCCTTTAGGTTTATGCATATCCAGAAATAATTTCCTGGGAGCGTATCACCCACCATTTGTGAAGCAGGTACCCAGCACGAAGGGGACATGAGATAGTTTTACCCAACTTCTTGTTGCTGGTTCCTTTCTTAGCCCTCCCTGTGGCTGCTCACTGTACGGAGAGTTTCCTCCTCCAGATCTCAGGCATATGGGAAGGTTGGTGGGAAATGATACAGATTTTGGTGAAGGGTTTCTAGACAGACCCAGAGGTCCCCAGATACTCGGAGAGCTGTGATGGAGCCCTGTACACATCGCATGGTCGGGCTGCTTGCCAGGCCCCCACGGCACACACGCAGGAGGGGTCATTTTACCTTCCCAGCACTGTGCTTTGGTCCTGGCAAGGAAATTAAACGCCCTCATATTCTGCTCCCAGTGAAGGGTTAACAGGAGCAGGCAGGAATTGCGTGTCAAAAGCTCACTAGCAACATCTCTGATTTAGCTAAAGAAATTTGCAGAGCCTGGGATGAAACCTGTACCAGTCTGCCTATTTACTCATCTTTCCTCTATCTCTCTCTCTCATCTGAAAGCAAGGCACAAGTTTGTGAGTCACAAGCAGCCTAATTTGAGAAAAGCCAAAGCCACTTCTGAGAGCCTTTGGCTCATGGGCGAGACGCTGGCCCCGCTGGAGCAAACCTCCCGCCAGTCCCACCAAGACATCCAACCGAGATAAAACATGGTAAAATACTTCTCATTAAAAGATCCTGGCAGAAATCGTTTCATAAAGGGCATCTTGTTGATGGTAAAGTCCTTCAGGCCAGGGCTGTGAATCCTTCAGATTAACCATAATATCCACACGCGGCATGAAGAGGATTGATGGAGAGCAAACCCAGGTGGATGAGTCTGAACCAAGGGCTTCAGTCTCGGGGCTTTCCAAGTGTTGCGTTCTGCGTGGGCACTGGACAGGCACATGTCTGGGCTAAGCTTGACATTTCCCAGCTGCATAGACAAAGTTTAGCTTTACCACTCAAAGGATGAGGAACTGGAGCATACGCTGTATGGGAAGGGAATGGTAGGGACAGCCCTTGGGTGACAAGCTTCTGTTCCTTTTGGAGGAAGAAAGATGGGGGACTGATAGGGTGATCTTAGGACAAATTGGCCCTCCAGGCTCTGGTACGGGTGACAGGACCATAGTTGTCTTGCCGTATTTTTCATAAAACCTCACAGATTTCACTGCAAGGGCAAAGTTTGGCTTTTCCACCAGCATATATAAAAACCACACCACACAGACATCAACTCCCACAGTGGCAAATGTAGTCACTTGGTGCTCCCCTGCTATTGAACACCGTCCATCCAAGCAGAGCAGATGCTGTGAAAGAAAGGGTGAAGGTCTGGCCCGTGTGGTTGGTATCCCTGAACCCCAGGGCCTCTGCAAAAGGGAGCGGGGGGGCTGATGTTGTGTTGAGGTCTTTGCTGGTTCGGATGCCAAGGTGCAGAAAGGCAGCGTGCCTCAGGGAAACTGGTGTTTTCTCACACCCAGACATCTCCCCTGGGACAAGAGCCCCTTGTTTTCCCATCTGGTTCCAGTAAGATGAACCTTGCTGGAGCTACACTAAAACGTATGGCATTGCCGTCAGCAAACAGTCTGAGCCAGCCCCTGGCTAGTGTCAGCTACTCTAAACCCACTGGTCTCTGAAAGAAGGCTGAGGTAGAGACACTAGAGAATCTGAAGTGCTGGCATAAAGTCCACAGAGTCATTTGCTTTAAGAGAAAGAAGAGCAGGGTATGATTGTGACACAGCTGTGAAAGGAGACACAGAGAGACACACACTGCTATCACAAGCTGGTTGGGATTAGTCGTGGATCAGTGTCGTAGGAGCTGTCTTCCCTTGAGGTGGACATAGTGGTACCTGGAGACGCCTGTCACCCGCGCTGGCCTGCAAAAGTGGAGTGTGCTTTGTAATTGCACGAGTGGTCTCCTCTGGAAGCGGAAAAAGCAGTATTCCACCTAGCACGGTCACGTCTTTTGCTGGTGTAGCTCTTTTGTGGTCTGCAGTGAGTGTCCACCACGTTGCATGAACCCTGTGTATACTTGCCCAGCCCCTCACTGCATTCCAGGGGGATTCGATGTCCATCGCTGCTCTCCCTACATGTAGGGACCAGGTTTCTCAGTGCTGTGAACGTCTCCTTTTCTCTAGTCTGGGCCTGCGAAAGAAGCACGGTTATTCTCCCAAAAACTTCCTCCAAACATCTAAGAGAATGAAGGGTTAGCTCCTGCTCAACTCCAAGACAAACTACAGCTTTCTGATGGAATGCTCTCATTGTGGGTGGAAGCTGGGTCCCATGGCACCACCATGAGCAGGGTCTCCCTAAGCCCTCCTCATTTCCAGCGCCAGCACAGACCCCATCGTGTGTCATTGAGCGTTTCCAGTTTGCAGACTTGTTTTGTTTGCATTTTATTTACTTATGTCCTTGCTGATGGATATGTCTGAACAGTCATTGTGCCAGGCCGGGCACAGCCTGTCCTCTGAACTGAGCCTGAGGTGCTGTGGGCACAACCAGCCACTCACAGGGTCACACAATGTCTTTGGCTCTGAAGATGTTTGTGTTCCAGTTTCCTCACTTGGGTCTTCATCCGCCTCAGGGAAGTTGAACTGGCCAAGATGTGACAGAGTGGAGGACCCTTGGATAAAATACCTTCCAGGGAGATGATGTATTCTTGTTTTACCTGACTTTAGCAGGGTACCACATTACTTGGGCTGCCTGAGTGAAGTATGAACACAGTGTTTTGCTCCTAGCACCCTATTTAGGGGTCGTTTTCATTTAGGGTGAAACAAGGACTTGTGCAAATGTGCATACACCCCTGTCCAATTTGAAGAGCCAAGCAGAAGTTGTAATTCCCCTACTGGCCTCTTTAAACACCGCTGCTTCTCCCCATGGCTCTGCGTAAAGCAGGGGCAACATTCCATCAGAGAGATCCTAGCACCAGCATGAATCCCTGCCGCAAATTCTGAGCAGCTCCTAACTTAAACCCCTAGCAAGCACACAGAGACACTGACACCTCCTGGTATAATGTATCACTTGGAAATGATTCACCAGCCTTCACATGAGAAACTCTGGTTTGGGATAGAACCAACACAACACACTGGATTTTACTCTGGTGCATGGGCCACCTTGAAACTGGGTCTTCCTTTGAGGTGTCAAGAGATTTTGTATTTTTATCACGAATGCATGGTTGTTTTCTCATTATTTCTTTAGCATCCCACTGTCTCGCTGCTAAGGGTGTGGTTTAGGTAAAAAAAAAAACATTCAGCTTTTAAATATGGTTTTCCATACAGCTCAGTGTTTGCTAATATCACAGAAACTTTATTAATTTCTTTGAGAACATCATTTTCATACAAGCTCAAGCACCCTGCGCTCCTGCCAAGCCTAGCAATCTGGGCAAACATTTCTGTGTCCTTTCCCTTAGTGATGAACCAGACTGTACCATCACTCATGGACTCACGGGCTGCACCATCTCACTGTTGTTCACTTGCAGTCAGTTCAATTTGACAGAAGTTTTGCAATGGGAACTAATTAGGGAGAGCGTGCTGATGAGAAAGTCCTAGGGCGGATGGAAGCCAGACCCAAGTATCTCCCTTGCATCTCTATCAGAAGAGACATGCAAAGAAAAATTATTACAACAGACGCAAATCAAATTCTACACCTCTTGTTATCAAAAGTGAGTCACAACACTGAATCCCAACATTTTAAAGTTATTTGTAGGAGACAAGAGTGCCACAAATTAACACCATCTTGGAAAAGGAGACCAGCAATTATTCTCTGTATTTTACAAGAAAAAAAGGGCAACAACACAGCGGCCATACTCAATTTTTCCTAATAGCCACTTCTTGCTCCTTAAATAAAATAAAGGGTGATGAAGAGCACAACTCAAACCAGGCTCAGCCTTCAGAGTAGCTTTCCCATTTCTGATTTTCCTAGGGAAGCATCCTCTGGGCAGCCCGCAGTTTGCTGCATGAGCACCCCCTCTGACGGATCCCTCCGAGATGTCTGCGGTGGGAAACCCATGCTCCCTGTCTCTCCAAAACCGCATGGCTCAAACCCCACCGGGCTGAAAAATGTGGCATAAAGGGGAAAGAAAGCGATTTTGATTGCATAGTGCCACCCACTGTCGGAAAAACAGACGGCACCGTGGCTGCTGCTCTGGCATGGGCTGCGCTCGCTACTCGGATAAATAACCAAGATGTAGCTAAGACATAACCTAAGACAGCTAGGATATCTATAAGGTAGCTCTATACATTCAGCGGGGTATATACACACAGCTATATCCATGTTGCTGGGGTCAAGCAGATGCGAATATTTACGCACGCCACCACCACCCTGAGCCTGGATGGGGCTGAGAGAGCCGGTGTGAAGCGAGAGGTCCTGCACAGTGAGGGAGATGCCGTGGGGAGGAGGCCTCGCTGGGAAAACTTGGGGTGGGTCTGGGAGTCCCAAGTGCCCGGGAAAACATGTTAGTTGGGTGCCAGCCCCTCTTGGTGTCCTGCAGATGTAGGAGAGATGGGCAAGGGGAGTGGGAGGGGATGGAGATACAGAGGTACAGGGAAACACGGGCCCCTGTGCACATTGCTGTGGTGAAGATGCTTGGTTTGTTTCTTGGATTTGGTATGCACTTTGATTATCAGCTCCTTACGTGTATCAGGAGGGAGGGAATTATGTGATGAATTTCCTGAGGTGGAAAAAAACTCACCCAGAGAATCGTGCCACTCTCTGGGTTATGCCATTGTACGTCTACTGAAAGGAAGATATTTCTATCACTTATGAGGAGCTCAGACCAGAGCATCCCAACGCATCTCCAAACCTCTGAAATTGTGTATCCTGGGAAAAGACCAAGTTGTATTTCTCTATACATCCATCACCCATGGCCAAAGGCAACTCAAGCAGCTGGAGAGTAGGGCATACCCTGATGAGCTGGGAGCTCTTGCAGGATGGTGTACCCTTCTGCAGAGATGCCCTTGGAGAAGAGATCTTTCATTAAGATTGTCATTTGCTACCATTTCCATCCCCACAGAGGCTGCCTCCTCCTCGGCAGGCACTGGTCCCCGGGGAGGGAGTGCTTGTGAAATATTCATACATCAGTAGAAATTACATTTGTAAGCATGGACTGCAGAGCAACAACTGGCTGGAGGGTTGAGCGGGGAAAAACAATAAGAGTGAGAGAGGAGGGGGGGGGGGGGGGGGGAAAGCAGAATGAGGGAAACAAAAGGTGATGTGTGATTATTAGCCCCGACTGAAATGCACATTGAGTCTCACGGCAGCAAGGAGCCTCCTGGGCTCTGCTGGCATTCATTTCTGGTGGCTGCAGGGATGCTCCAGCATCCATCAGGGTTGGGAGCATGGCTGTCTCAGAGCATGTGGAGTGAATTGATTTTCTCCTCGCTCGGCAATGGCTAAACAGCGTTTGCATTCGTGCTGCTGTGACACTGGTGAATAACCTCACCCAAGCATACGCAAGAGGCAAAACCATCCCCTAATTACCGGCAGACCCGTGTCACTGGCTTGAGTGGTTTGGGCACCTCTGCAGGGGCTACCTCAGTTTTAAATAACTTTTAAAAAACCCAAACAAATCCACACTTTGGGATCTTTGGTCAAATTGGATTGAACAGTGGGTGAAAATGCAAAACCAAGCCCATTCAGTCCTGCACAACAGGATGCTTCAGGTGTTTGGTGTAGCCCTCGGGTACCTCTGGCACGTAGCTGCAAATCTTTTACATCACGGTAGACCACTATTGCCCCACTAGCATAGTGCAAGGCCTCCTTGAGAAATGTATAATCCCTCCTAAACCACCTGGTTTCTTTTCCTCTGTTCTCCATATCTCACACTGAAGACTGGATTCCTTATCAGGATCCGGAGGCTAAGATCTCTAGCAGTGACAATAATAGTAAAAACAGGAACAATCAGGGTTTTTTAATGCTGTGATCATTAGGATCCCCTCACTGCTGCTGCTGTTTGTTGCGTGCTGTTGCTTAATTTACCCAGATACCTATAGGGAGGGAGTCTGAAAGCATCATATAGATGTTTTCTTAAGGGGGACGTTTCTCCCCTGCATAGGAAGGATCCTTACAGCTTCCCTGCACCCTCCTAGCTTGGTCCTCGCCTCCCTCGCAGGAAGCATACGCACGTTCGCATGATGCAGGAGCGAGTTTTGACTATTTTAGGGCCTGAATTTTCCCTGTCGGCATGGCAACTTTCAACTCCTCACCTCTGACGGAAGCTGCTTAAAATAGAAAATCCAGAAAGCGGGCATCGCGCTCCACGTTTGGCAAGCCCGGCTCCGGCACGGCAGCCAGGGCAGGATTTGGCCTCTCAGGGCCAGAGAAACGCTGGGGGTAAGGGGGCTGGCCCATGGGCCATCACCACCCACTCGCTGCCACTGCAGTTTTTAAAACACCTCCCAAATCCTCATGATCTTTGCTGTCTGAAAGTATCCTCTCCCTGTCGAGCCCTTCTTTGCTCAGACAAGCTTCGTCTTGATATTCTCAGCCCCATCCACAGCCACTGAATCTCCATCTTTCCATGGATGCCGCCTCCACCCTAGATATATTTTTCCCCAGACATCCGGGGCTGTTCAGTGCCATGGGATTGCCATTTTGAGAAAGTATCTCTAACCTTCCGAGGTTCCTTTTTGTTGTTACTCTTTTTCGCTTTGTAAAACCCATACTTTTTTATAACTATTTTTTCCCAAATATTTTTTCTTCCCAGCTCACACATAAACAATTGCAATTGCACGGGGCCAAGCAGGCATGTGGTGTGCCTCCCCTAATCCCCGCTTAACCTAATTCATTTTCTGTCTAAGAACAAAACTCTGTGAGATTCTTTCAAGGAGGCTGGATTATGTCTCTCTCAGCCTGCGATGATCATGTAGGATTAGGGAATAAAAAAACCTAGAAGTTATCAGCGAGCCACTAAACCTGCAACAACCCAAACACCTAGAAAATCCCCTTCCGTGCCCAGATTTGAGCTGGGAACCAGGCTGTGCAGGAAGATCTTCGCCACCAAAACCAGCACAGCGTCCAGTCCTTAGAGCTATTTTTAGGTCTTTGAGGATCTGGACCTTGTTGTTGTATTTTGTTTCTGAGTTTGTTTTTTTTTTTCTTTTCTTGTCTCTGTTACCCAAAGTTTTTTGGAGAGTTCAATAGGGGGAGTCAGGATGTCGAGGGGGGTTTATCTGGCTTTCTTGTGGGAAAGGTAGGTGATCTGAAACTGGAAAAACAAACCCAATTTTCTACACAGTGAAGAAGGGCTTGTTTTGTACAAACACAATCACTGCTGCTTGTTGTTGCTTCTAGGAGAGCTTGTTGACATTTTTCAATCAAAATACTTTCCGCTCTTCCTCCAATTGATGTCTTCTTCTTTTCTCTGCCCCTCCCCAGCCCCCACCCCCCCCCCCCTTTCAGTTTTGGCAGTTAAATACTATTTAACACATGTCAGGTTTTTTTAAACAATTTACACACTTTCACTTCTGTGTGGTTTTGGAAGTGCAACAAACATCCAAACATGTTTTTTTCCCTTTCTGCAACTGGGCAGTGAATGTTAATATACGGAAGTTCCCTCTTCCCTGGCTTTATTTTATTCACTCCAATCCTTTCCCACTATTTCCTTCCCTCCCTAACTTCTCAATGCTGCTCCAACCGAGGAAGGGGCAACCCTCAGTTCTCCTCCAGATAGCCTGAAGCACCCCACCCAGCCAGGCTGAGCCAGTAACCTTTGCTTTGTGGGTTAAAAATGGATTAACTTCTTAAAGGATTCCATTTTTTTCCTTTTATTTCTTCATTTGGGAACCACAGATGCTCGACCAAGCCACCTTTAACAAGGCATCTTTCACAAGAGCCTGTTTCAGGCTCTTGGCTCCAGGGGGAAGCAGGAGACAGCTGGGAGGAGAAGTCACCTCCAAGCAGGGGGGTGAGAGCTCTGGCTGGGAGCAAGCTGGGGACACTGTCTCCTGCAGCTGTTTCCAGCCTTTTTAGGGTATACAGACTCCCTTAAAAGCTGCCAGTGGAAATGGGGATCCCTGTATTTTACCTGACTTGTGTTTCTCAATCACTGTTCACAAATTTCCTTAGAGGAAAACCAGGGATGCCCATTCCCCATACCAGATAGAAAACCAGGGGTTTGCATCTCTTACACATAATGCCAGAGGAGACTTAAAGCTTTTCTACCACGAGTGTGTGCTCTTGTTTGGCCTAAGAAGCAGCAAATCCCCATTTCCCAGATAAGACTCCTCCTGAGCTCCTCTAAGGCAGGGTAGTTGCTACAGCCTCCAAGGAAGACCAGGAAGGGGCCAAGATATCAAGAAAAGGCAGCTAAACTGGGCAAGCAGATACCAGATGCTCACCCAAAGGACCTGTGGATAAAAGAAAAACAGCAAAAGAAATTCCAAAAGAAGAATAAGGGAGGAAAAAAAAAAATGCACTTACAGTCTCATTTTCAGGCTGACATGGTGCGAGCCCTTCTGGGCCAACAAATCCGGTGTTTGGGAGGGATTTACTGAGGTGTGTTCACTCCAAACACAAGCTTTCTTGGAGCTATTGAACAGCAAAAAAGTTAATATTTCAATGTAGTTGCATTTATGTATGGGTCTATAGTGTCATTATGAACACAGTCAATCCCAGGAGCTTTATTTCTCGATTCCCCTGAGATAGACGCGTGTCCCGAGGTGCCCCGGGCATGAAGCCTGTCAGCCTGGAGCTGCGAGTGGGTTCCCACAGGGGTGGGAGGACTACAAAGGGTGCCTGTGCTCAGGCTGCCCGAGCAGACATGGTAAACATCCTTGGCCCCAACTATTATAGGAAAGGGTGAGCCCACAAGTCCTGACTCACTCCCCGAGGGACACCCAGCAGAGGAGCCCGCACATCCCTCCTCCCCCACCACTTGCCTTTGCTGTGGCTGCAGCTGGCCCCCTCTGACCAGCCAAGCCCTCCAACCTCTGCTCCCAAGGCAGTGCACCCCTCCTTTCCCAAATTCACCCCATTTGCCTCCTGCTCCTCCACCCGTGCAGCCGCCTTTCGAGTGCCCCCTCCTCCACGGTGGGGACTGGAGGTGATGGAGCTCCCCCCAGGCCAGCCCTGGGTTAAGATTAGCCCATTGCTCCCCACTTCTGGTGTTAATCTTGCCATGTGAGCAGAGGTGGAGAAACCGAATTGAAAATAAATCAAAGTTAAATATCTAGGCTGCCCTCCCCGGTTTTGAGCTTCTCCGTTAGCCTCGCAGCCTCACTAGCTGATCAAGTGATGGCCATGCAATCACATTGCTTTGAGATTTGGCACAGTGGATGGGATTGAACTTTTTTTGTGCATGTGTACAGAGGAAAGGGGATGGTCAGGATGAGAAGAAAGGCTCAGTGAGCAGTGCAGCAGATTTGTCCCAAGAAAGAAAGTTTTTCCTCTGTGCCACCTTCATTCCTACTTCCCTCCCCTCAGCCCCTGACCAGCCACCAGCTGAAACCCAAACCAGCTTTTGAGTGCTCAGGCTCTGTCCAAGGGAACAGAAAAGTGCTGTGAGAAGCACAAATGTGGGGATAGAGGGAGAAGGGATGTATTAATATTATTTTTAAAAGGTCAGCTACTACTTAATTTAGAATATATTTCTAATGAAAATCGCCTGGGTAGGTTGTACAGCCTACTAGAAGGTCCCTGCCATACCTCATGGTTAGTCCGGCTATTTAAAACCCCCTCTCCCCCCTCCCCAGATACCCCCCTGACTGCTGCTGCTTGCAGGACATCTGCCATAGCAGGATGATAAGACAAAGAAGCAAACATAAATCACAGCCGCTAATTGCAAAGCCATATGTATCTGTCCTTGCCCTTTTGTGCTTCAGCCTTCAATCCACGGCTTGCCCATCTGATCCATCTCCCTGTCATTACTGCTCTTTCAGATCTCTCGACACTGCTCCCCTTTATGTTTCTTCTCCATATTCAGCCCGACTTCTTGTGTCTCTATCCTTGAGCACCTCTGGCCTTCTCTTTGCCAGCTTGTTCATTCCTTTTATATTTCTCCTCTTCTTCCTCCAGCATCATCACCCCCCTTACCTCCCTGCTTGTCTCTCTGAACAAACACAGATGAAACATTTCACCGTTGCCATGCTTTTCAGACATTAACTAATTACAGTCTACAAGCCAGCAGGTCAGTGGTACGTTCCTTATTTTTGCAGCCCTCAATCCCACTATGTCAATGCAAACACAAACATGCAGGGAAAAAGGATAAAGGTCTTTTGGGGAGATGGTCAGACCCAGCCACCAAAAACCTGTAAAACCAGTGAGAAGGGCTCGTTCATATCACAGAAGCACTCCCTCTTGTCAGCACAGGCTGCTCCTGGTGCTCAAGAGAAAAGCCATGTCAGCTGCCCTGACTATTCTGGAGGCAAAGCTGCCAACCTTGGGGTCATCTCCGCATCCTTAAAACATTAGCTGGCCTCCAGATTTCCAGGAACAGGGTTGTTACCAGCTGGAAGAGTGCTGGGCGACTATAAGAGGCCACAGTTTTACTTTCAAGTGATTAAAAAAAATAAATGAGGAATAGATCCCAGGGAAAGAAGGAAACCCCTTAGGGATGACTAGGTGTTAGTTTAGTGTTTCCCTGGGGGAAAAATAAATTGCTGGGCAAACCAAGAACTGACTGTCTCTGTGGCAGTGTTTGACTACCTGCAGAAAATGATGCCTGATGTTTGCTGTCAGTGCTTCATTCGAGCCTGAACTGCCTCCACCAAAGCAAAGCTGCTCCACAGGTTTCAAAGACTGAAAAAATAAAGGAAAAACAGGGCTAAAATATTTAGGAAAAAGAATCAAACTGTGAAAGTTCTTCCGTAAGCCAAATATTGTTCTGTTTTGCAGCATTGGTGGGAATCTTCTGGGCTGTGGGACCTCAGCGTTAGCAAATCTTGTTAACAAGCTGCTAAGTGTTTGTGTGAGGCACCAGAAGAATGGGTTACATGGGTTACGTGTCTTATTGATTTCATGACAACTATCACTGCTAGGAATTGATGCTTTCATTAGAGAAAGCAGATTAGCAATAGGCTTGTGGATGTTTGGCCAACTCAGGAGATGGCAGGGTACAAATGGCCTCCTCTCTTGAAATATAACTTACAGGCGAGATGTAATGGAGGAAGACTCTACTAATATCACGGTGCTATAACACTGCCCCGGTTTACCAGATTAAAAAATCCCAGAGTTGCTGATACCTACTGAAGATAATGACTGTGATACCACTCCTTTGGAGAAGACTGGTGAAATACCTGATGAGAGGCAGCTCTTGTTGATGAATATTTGTCTTCGAAGCCTTAGGAATGGGATTCAGTTTCCCCATACCGGAAATCTTGGCTGATGATGCCAAATATCTTGGCTGATATTGCCTAGAAAAAATATAGGGAATGTGAGGCAGAGAAGGCTTCCTCAGCTGAGAAAAAGGAAAAAAGTCAGAAAGTAAAACAGAGCCACAGAATAGTTGAGGTGGGAAGGGACATCTGGAGGTCATCTGGTCCAGCCCCGCCGCTCAAGCAGGGCCACCTAGAGCAGGCTGCCCAGGACCATGTCCAGATGCTTTTTTGAATATCCTCAAGGATGGAGACTCCACAACCTCCCTGGGCAACCTGTGCCAATGCTCAGTCACCCTCACAGTGAAAAAGTATTTTCTGATGCTCAGGAGGAACCTCCTGTGTTTCAGTTGATGCTCATTGCCTCTGGTCCTGTCACTGGGCACCACTGAAAAGAGTTTGGCTCTGTCTTCTTTACACCCTCCCTTCAGGTGTTTATACACACTGATGAGATCCCTCCCGAGCATTCTCTTCTCCAGGCTGCACAGTCCCAGCTCTCAGCCTTTCCTCATGGGAAAGATGCTCCAGCCCCTTCATCATCTTTTCGGCCCTTTGCTAGAGTGCAGCAAAGTCCATACTCCGATATGTTCATGTCTCTGTTACTGAGAAACCCAGAACTGGACCCAGCACTCCAAGTGTGGCCTCACCGGTGCTGAGCAGAAGGGAAGGATCACCTCCCTCGACCTGCTGACAACACTCCTTCTGCTGCAGGATCACCTCCTCCAGGCCAATCTGTTGGGCTTCTTTGGCACAAAGACACATTGCTGGCTCATGTGCAACTCGGTGTCCACGAGGACACCCAGGTTCTGCTCTGCAGAGGTGCTTTCCAGTCAGTCGGCCCCCAGTGTTTGCATTTCCCCTTGCTGAACTTCAAGACAGCTCAGGTCTTCAGCCTGTTGAGGTCACTCTGGACAGCAGCACAACCATTTGGTGTATCAGCCACTCCTAGTCTTGTAATATCCATGAGCTCACTGTGGATGCACCCTGTTCCATCACTGAGGTCACTAATGAAGACGTGGAACAACACTGACCCCTATGCCAACCCCTGGGGGTGCACCACTTGTCTCCCACAAGTGGACTTTGTGCCCCTAACCACAACCCTCAGGACCCAGCTGGTTTTCAACCCATCCCACCATCCACTCATCTAACCTGTACTTTGTCACCTGGTCTGTAAGGATGTTATGGGAGACAGTGTCAGAACCCTTACTGAAGTTGCGGTAAGCGACGTCCACCACTCCCCTCCACATCCACCCAGTCACCTCATTGCAGAAAGCAATCAGGTTGGTTAAACACAATCTCCCCTCACATTCCCCTTTTCCTGCTGAAATAACAGCGGAGCCCAAGGATGTGATATTTTAAGAAAACAATGAGATTAAGAGACAGATGCTAAGTGTTCACAGCACTTCTGGCTGAGATAAACTGCAGTATCGGTTTCTACCAGATTGAGAGCACGTGGCCTGCACTTCAGGGGAGAGGCTTAATGATTTAATAGGGTTTCCCATCTCTTGCTAGCAAGCTTCGACAGTACACACAGGTATGTGAGCACTAAGCAGAGACAATCGCAGATGTAAATAAATAGAAGCCCTCATTTAGATACCAAGCGCTGAAGATGTTGCTTGGGCATATTTCACTCAAGAAGCAAAGCAAGTTTCCCTGTGCTGGGTTACGTCCCACATCTCCTGGAGGGGGAATAACGTTTGGCTCTGTCCATTCTTGCCCCTGGGGCTACAGGCTGTGTTTTGTTTGGTGTTTCAGGCTGTCTGACTGGCACTTAGCGTGCATGTGAGCGTACAGTGATCACTCACGTGGTGGAAGGGGGTTCAAAGAGGAATTTTCCAGCTTCTGCTTCCTCTCTTTCTTCTTTTTCTTGTCTGCCTCCCTTCCCACCTTAGCCCCAGTTTCTGTTTCCCAGTGGAGCTGCTCTACGTTACCCTGCCAAAGAAGGACATCTCACAGTATGGCTCTGCAGGTTGTCATCTGTGACACAGCATGTGCCATGTTTGCTGGGGAACAGGGACTTAAATCTTTGGCATCCTCACTGGCTTCATTACTGAGGAGGGATGTCCTCTGCAAGCTTGCTCTTCACTCTATAATACTGAGGCTTTGGCCTCTGACGGCCAATGTTTAATCATTCAAGCATGACAGCATGGGTGGATCCAACAAGACCTACCAAGTTTTATCTGCAAGAAGAAGGGAAGCTTGCAGTGGTACCAACTGCTCTATTTCCTCTTAACTCAGGATCATCGACATGTATTTGCTATGGCAGCTAATAATCCCACGGTTTAGCTTGATAAAATTAGGGAAGAGAAAAGGAGAAAGACATAACTAAAGATCAAAATCAAGTACACAGATTGTCAGAGAGGAAAAGTCCTGAAAACGCCATAAAACCTACCAGACTTTCTTATTGCTGCCACTGGGGAAGAAGGTATTTTAAGGACAGTGATAACAAATAGACCAAAAAGAAGGAAAAAAAAAAAAAGACGCGTTTTCAGCGAGTCCTAAGAAATTCCCCCACCATTCCGGACCCCATGCGAAGCTTCACCCTTCTGATTATTTTTTATCATCCTGCTTAGACCACTGTACTGATTGTGGACTTGATTAAGTTGATCTTCCAAAATCAGGAGGTCTACACTAATTAACACCCCGGGAAGCTCTAGTCCCAAATCCTACATAAGAGGCTCTGGCACCCACAAGTTTCTCAGGATTTTTGGGTGCTCCCCACTTCCCAGGAAGGGTGCATCCTCAAATGACAGAACTGAGAAGAAAAAGAAAGAAAAAAAGTCCTCTCATAATCCAAGTAAAACATGCTTCTGATGCAAAATTAACATTTGGCAGAGAAGTGACTCATGGTGACTGAGGGCTTCGTGCATCCCTCCTCTGAAGCAGCCAGGATCTTTTTCTGGCTTGTGAATCACCAGAAAATGGTAGATGAGCACGTCTTGACCTAAGCAAAACTGAGGGTGTTAAAGAAGCTCAGCTCTGCTCTCTGAAATAGCACTGCTGGCAACTTTGTGATGCCAGGAAGGGGGAAAATTAGCATTTCCAGGGGTGGCTTAAAAGGCGGAAAGCCTCATTTACAGTGAATTCTCAGGCTTTGGAAAGCCTGACTGTGAACTAAAGATGGATTCACCTGTATGCTGAGCAGGCTCCTTCATGGGAAGGGGACATGTCACCTCCTTTGAAGGCATTATGCCTTCTTTTTTTTGGTAAAACCCCGTGCTTTAGAGGGTCTGGCATGTTTTCCAGATGCTTTTGTGACACATAACCCCTCTCACAGTCCAAAAATCCCATCTTCAGGCTCTTCACAAAAACCCTTCAGAATCCCTTGAGAAGAGGCGGTGGGAGTGAGGACCAGGAAAGCACCTGAGCATCAGTCTAAACCCCATCCGTATGGTCCCCCTTCAAACACAGCCCCGTGTGAGCAGCACTGGCTGCGGCAGAGCCAGATGCTCAAGGACTGGCCCCATGAATTGCAGTTTTACCAGCTAAATTGCTGCAGGACAGAAAGAAGGAGGCACTAGAAGTTTCTTAAGCGGAGCACATATATAATTACTTTGGGTTAGAGTCCAGCTGCATGAAGCTGGGTGAGCACGGCCTCTCCAGCTCTGCAATGTTTTGGCAAACCCTTTCGGAGCAAGGAAGGGCACGGCATGAAGCCAGCAGACACATCTGGCTGTCCAAGGACTACCCCGATGCCCCAGATGTGCTGCTCTCTGGATTTTTGCCCCCCTGGGTGTGCTTTGTGGGGGAGGGTCATCACTGGAGCCCCAGCTGTCCGGGCAAGCAGAGGTACTGGAATACATTTGGTTTGTGAACAAATAGCTGTCCTGACTGGGTTTCCTGATTGTTAAGGTGAAAACATCAGCCCTTCTTCTGCTCCTTGTTCGTAATTATCCCCCTTGTCATATCTTGTTCCTACATCTCCTTTAATTATTTTTTTAATCCAGTTGACTCCCCACCACAGTGTCTCTGACGCAAGCAGTCTCTCATCCTGTAGCCCAGAGAAATATTGATGTTGATCTTTTTTTCTTCACATTGAGTAGAATTAAGTGCCAGCTTCTGTCATGGCTACAAAACATTCTCCTCTCTCAGGAGAGGATTCTCTTTGGATAATTACTCATCACAAAATAGTACCTTCCCAAGTATCCCTCATTAATTATCCCCCTGGTCAAGATTTCCAGGACCTTTCAACTGCAAAAAACACCATGACACTGATGTCATGGTTTAACCTGATCTCATCTTAAACAGCGTAGCTCGGGTTTTGCAGGAAGTGTAGCCACGACTACAGAGAAATACTCGGGGTAAATACTCATGGTGGTGGTGGTGAAAATCTTAGCTGAGCTTTGTTTTATGGCAGCATTATGGCATCTGTGCTGCTAGAGGCACTTGCAGGATGCCTGGGTGAGTGGCTGGCTATGTAGTTCCTCATGACTCTGGATACCCAGGTGCAAAACCCATTTTTGCCTCTTGCATTGTGAATGTGGGCAAGAGAATCCAGTCGTTTGCATTTCCCTTCTTCAGACTGGAAAAGAAGGCGAAAATCGCTTTCCCCATCACAGGAGAGCCATACGGTGCTGCTACTGAAGGGGACTCGAGGAGGAACCCACAAAAGCTTTCCACAGGGATGTTGGGCGGTGGGATCATCCACCTGCCCCGAGGTACCAGCCGAACCTTTCTGTTGAGCCGCAAAAGAGTGAGGCACAGGTGACACTGGGCGAGCCGCGCAGGTCTGAGTACAAAACACGGCCTTAGCAAGGCTGCCACGTTGAGCTCTTCAGCTAAGCGTGGCAACAAAGACTGGGGGGGGGAAAAAAAAAAAAAAAAAAAAAAAAAAAAAAGAGTAAAATTCAAATACTGCCATCGCTTTCATGGTAATCAGCACAGCATTATGCAGAATGATTTGTAATTTTACACTGACGGCTATTATCTTCTGGCAGTCACCATGACTTAAACAAATGTCTGATATTGCAAGGGGCTGGGGTTTTTGTGCCTTTGACAAGAACCTCACCACAATAAGGAGCCCAAAGAG